ATCCGTTTTAATTCTTATTGGGCGCCATTTATGTAATATTCGTCGAAATAGGATGTATTTCGGCGCCCACCGTTGCAATCCTAAATGTCTATACATTTTGTTGAATATCGGATCAGATGAAGATATATATCTTCATCCGATTTCATTGTTATTGGGCGCCATATTTTTAATATTCGGCCAAATTGTATGTATTTCGGCATTCAGTGCCTAGTACAATCCAGAAATATATCTGTAAATTTTGATGAATAAAGGTTCAGATTTAGATATAGCTTGCATATACACAAAGTGAGATGAAAAAACTGCAACCAACTTCAGACTGCTGTCATTTCTAAGCCACTCGTCCGACAGCTGTTAAAATTATTCCAGTGACATCTCATTATACCATCGCTCGTTACCGTGTTACTGGAAGAAAACAGCAACATCAGCAGAAATGGTTCAAAAAGTAAAGAAGCGACTTGATCGAAACCCGCGTCGCAGTGGCCAAAAAATGGCTCGTGAGTTGAACATATCGCAATATTCCATTCGGCAAATATTGAAAAATGAGCTCGGGGTAATGCCATGGAAATTCTAAAAGGTGCAAGAATTTACACCGCCTAAGAGGTCACCTAAAAATGTGCACGTTCCGTTGGCCACCAGAACTCAAGTGCCTGGCATGGTGGTGGTGTGGGCCGCTATAACAGCCGATGATCGCTCTCTGCTCGTATTAATTGACTGTGGCATCAGAATAAATGCAGAAATTATCGCGAGCACGCGCACGCAAAAATGTTGGCCGCAGACCTTGGACATTCCAATAGAATTCAGTACCATAGCACTCAGCACGCGCCAACCCAAGAATGGTTACAAAATGAGGTTCATCTCTTCATTTCCAGCGCACAATGGCGGTCAACATCTCCGGATACCAATCTGTTGGACTATTGTGTCTGGAGAATTTTGGAAAGCAAAGTTTGACACTAAAAAATACTAAAGTGTCGATCACCTCAAGCAGGCGCTTCGCCGGGAATTGGCCGTTTGAAGGCCATCATTCGTACCAAAGGTAACCAATTCGAACAAATCTAAACTTATTCTAAAATTTGATGCTATTTCCGAAAAAATTTGCTTTCATCATTAAATTTTAAAAGAAAATGTAAAAATTAAAGCATTTGACTTTATTCCGTTTTTTTATCTCACCCTGTATTGTCGTCCGATTTCATAAGTATTGTGCGCCAAATGTATAATATCTATGCAAATATTGGTTCAGATTTAAGGACATTCAGCTTAGAAGCAAGTACTTCAAATTAGATGAAAATCGGTTCAGATATGGCTATAGCTCCCATATATATGTTTCATCCGATTTGGTGTTCAAGTGCCTCGCAGTCGTAATAGGGACTCCCTAATAATTAGTTAGCAGATATCAGAAACAGCTCTGATATACCTGTGTCAAATTTTATCAAGATCGGTTCAGATTTGGATATAGCGTCACCAAATTGTTAATATTAGCCCACATGAAGTGGATTTTGACACGTACGACGGAATTCACCTTAGAAGAAAGTCGTTTATATTCGATGAAAATCGTCTTAGTTATAGCTATAGTAGGCGGTATCCATTGTGAACTTTAAATACCAAGTTCGAGATAATTATCTGAGGCCGTTTCCTATTACGAACTCCAAATTCCAAATTTAAAATAAATCCGGTGAATAGGAAGTAGTGCCCATTGCGTACTCCAAAATTGAAATTAGAAGTTATTCCGGTGACAAAAATCGACGAAATAACGAAAAACTGGGAGTGCAGTTATATGGGACTATATCAAAACTTGGCTAAATCCATAAAAATTGTATGTTAATCAAGAAAATATATATACTTTGTGGGGATCTTCAATTTTTGTTTCGAGGTATCACATATTACCGTGGAGGGTTTAAAAATCAAACCTCAGGGTTAAGCGTTTTTTTCTATTGAAACACACGTTTGATCCAGTATCTAGAGAAGACCGTATTAGTCATTTATCTATAAAAGATATCGTAAGTCGGATTTAGCTCCATCTCTTAATAGATTTTGTAAATCAAATATGTTATGTTTGGTCTATGTCTATGGTTTTACTTTCTACATTCTTCTTCTTTTACGGTTTGAATACATGCTAATTTTAAGTATATGAATTAAACATAGCTGTCGCTAAAAAAAATATATTAAGATGGGGTCGTTCCCCAGCAGATGTCGCTCTAACAGATTTTGTAAGCTTAAGCGTTTAATCTGAATGGCTGATACATTCGACTTGGAAAACAAATTGAACTTTCAAGAATTAAAATGTTTCATTGGAATATTCCTCGATATCCCCATGTAGGGGAACATTTTTCTATTCCAATAAACTATTTTCTGTTCATAAATAATTCATAGTTGTTAATATTTTTGACATTTTTGAGTTAGGTGAATTGTGGGGGTTTTCACTTAAACCACCGAAATGATAGGCACGGCATTTTCTGATTCTAATTTTTTCGATTGGAAAAGGGGAAGAGTATAGCACAATTATGAGTGTGATTTTATCCCCTCCACCTTTAAAATTCGTCTTTTTTATTCCGCTTGTAACATCCCTAAATATTCGTAATAGACCCCATAAAGTATATATATTTGATCAGCATAACTCTCTCCTAAAGGTGGGAATACATAAAGTGCTTATTTGGCTGGCTTAAGGCATCGACTGGCTTCTTCGGCAATGAATTAAGGAGCCTAGGGCCAAAATCGAACTAAATCAACTTAATACTCCATTGCTCCTCTACGAAAAAGCCAGCCGATGATTTAAGCCAGACAAATAAGCACTTTATATAATCCCACCTTAAAGGTGCGGGTATATAAGCAGCTTAAAGTCTTCCCTTGGCATAGTTTTTATACCCTCCACCGTTTGAAACACCTCGAAATATACACAAAGTATATATTCTTGATCAGCATAAAATTCTATGTCGATTTTGCGATGTGCGTCCGTCTATCCATCTGTCGGTCTCTAGCTTCCGAACGAAATGAAATAGGTTGATAAAATTTTGCTCAAATGTATATTATGTCTACAGGACTATTGGTATTATAATTGTAGGTTCACGTTTTGGTATAGCTCCCATATAATAGTACCTCCCGATATTCGGTACTTTGATGATTTCAGCAACATTATTCACAGGAATAGTTTAAAATTTGGTATTTGAATTTTGAAATGGATACTACAGCCTAAGACAGAAAATTACCTGTACAGGGTTGCCCATATTCGACGGACCCATCTGACAACGCCATAACTTTTGACAGAGATGTCACATCGCTTAATGACATACCGCGTTTGAAGCGTCAGTCCAAGCAGATTTTTATCATGAACCACGCCACGCGAGCGCTCTGAAATTTACATTCAACAGAAGAAATCAATTGTGTGTCAACGTGCTTTTAAAACATTAAAAAATGTGAGAAGTGCGCCTTCTAAGAACACCATTAAGCGTTTATACGCAAAATTTTCGACTGGTAAGGCTCTTTCTAATCCGAAGAGGCCATATAAAAGTCGACCAAGGCGATCGGCCGAGAATATCGCTGCCGTACGAGCCAGTGTTGAGAGGTCCCCAAGAACATCCCAAAAACGCCGTTCTCAGCAGTTGGGCATGGCTCGGTCTACTTTACAACGGATTTTTCTCATTGATTTGCATTTGTTCCCGTACAAAATTCAATTGACGCAAAGAATGTTGCTTGCGGACGAGCCTCGTCGATTAGAATGGGCCCAAAGGTCCGTCGAATATGGGCAACCCTGTACAGGTCCACGTCTACATATAGCCCTCATACAAAGGCACTTCCCGATATTCGGTATTTTAATGATTTTAGCGACATTATTCACAGGAATTGTTTCAAATTTGGTATTTGAAGTTCGTAATGGATACCACATCCCAATACAGGAAATAAGCCATGTAGGTCCACGTTTTCGTGTAGCCCCCATCTAACGGTACGTCCCGACATTGGGTATTTTGATGATTTTAGCGACATTATTTACCGGAACTATTTAAAATTTGGTATTTAATTTTCGCAATGAATACTACAGCCTATGACAGAAAATTGTGCAGGTCCAAGTCTTCGAATAGCCCCATATAACGGTACACCACCCCCCCCCCCCCCATTTTCCGTATTTTGATAATTTTAGCGACATTATTTACCGGAATTGTTTCAAATTTTGGTATTTGAAGTTCGTAATGATACTACAGCCTAAGACAGAAAATTGTGCAGGTCCACGTCTTTGTATAGCCCCCATATAACGGTACCACCCGATATTCGGTATTTTGATGATTTTAGCTACATTATTCACCGATTTTTTTAAAGTTTCGCATTTAAATATGTCGGTCCATGTCGTCGTATAGCCCCTAATATAACAGCTACATTATGTACTTTTAAGATTTTATTAGAATTTATTAACGGATTTAATCGTTTTTCATAATTACCAAATTCGTTCCAAATGGTACTGGGTATTTCAAATTTCGGCCCGGCCAAACCTAAAGGTAAGGTAGAGCTACCAGCTGATTACAATTTTTTTACAAGTGTCACTGAACAAAATTTTTTCAAAACCAATGATTAGAAGACCCGTCATTGAGGCACCCGTATTTAAGTTATTAACCAGTTTAACCATAAAATTGAAAGATTGAACAGTTTGGATTATATTTTTGAGAGAAAATCCAGGCATTTCATTAATTTTTTCGCGCTTTTAACTCATTTTAAAAATGAGGACAAATATGAAAAATATGAAATCAACTTGTTGCATATAATGAGTCTGACAGGAAGCGGGCATAGCCTCAGAGCTGTATTCCTATAGTTTTACGAAGCTGTTCTACCTCTTTATTATACCTTACCTTTTTATTGTACAATGGCTGCACCTTTCTATGCATCTGCACTTCAAGTCTTTCCCAATTACCCAAGCTTCGTTTGGGGTCACATGTCGTTTACGTTACGTAGTCCACTAATTCACAAAAATTTTTTTCATTATTCTTTGACTTTTCATTCTTATTGATATTCTTTCATTCTCTCGCATTCACAACAAAGAACACATGTTATTCGCCAATGGAAAGGGGGAGGGTGGAGGGTTACCCAACCAAAAATATCCCATGTTTCTTCGACATAAACAAAAAACCTTGAATAAAGCTATTTGAATTGTTGTTGTTGTTTCTCCAATTCTCTTCCATTAGAATCTCATTTGCCGCTTGGCTTGGGGGAAAGTTGTTTGTTTGTCTGTGAAACTTGGAGTTCAAATTGAGAGATCGTTAACCTCTTGCCGCCGGGTCAGTTGGTGCTAAATTATTTCACCATCAAATTTCAGTTCTGTAAAACGAAGAAGTATCCAAACATCAATCAGTCAGCCAGCCAGCTTATGTAAATCTACGTGATATTTCATAATATTGATGGGAATTTGATGATGAAGCTATTTTATTGCAAAGTGAGTAATGTGGTGTTGTAAATCAAGAAGTTTCAGCCAAACTCAGTTGCTGGACGTAGCTTGAAAAGATCAAAACAACCACTTCAGTTCAGTTTTTTTTTCGTTTTGCAGTAATCTCCTCCGTTAGTGGTGTGTGCAGAGTATCCTAACTAAAATAAGACTGATCAACAATCGATGATAGTACGTTTAAGAATCCATATTGCATTGTTAAAATCTTAATCTTATCGCTCTGCTAAAACACTTGCCACTAACTGCCTCACAATTCTGCCCATTTGGTTCTCAATTTTCTCATGAATCCTAAAGATAAACTCGATGAGGGCGACAACGACGACGACTCCAATAAAGAGCAGGCATCAACAACAGTTTATAATTTAAACAGCTCACGCAGCACAACAGCGGACAATGGTAATGAATATCATCGAACAAGTAACCAAACAGTCTACTCCATACCGTTGGCGTCTTCAAGTGACGATTCATCAGTTGTCTCAAATTTCACACCACATCAGCCGTATCAAGAGAGGTAAGAAAGCACAGAGATTTCCATGGAAATCTTTCCACACACTGAGTTGAAGCTTGTTTATTTTTAATGTGGCTCAAAACCTTTCCAAGTTTAGTGGTATTGAAATGCAACAAGTTTGGCTTACGTAACTTTTGTAAATTATTTTTTTAATTGAGTGTCATTTGATGACGGCAAAGTCAATTGAATGTATCACGCGCAGATTTATTGAATATTTGCTTGTCTCGTGTACAGCTCGGCGGTATCTTAACAATAAAAAGAAATGCCGCTTTTAAAACCAAGCAAACAAGAGGAATAAAAATAATTTGTGGAATTGACACACAACTGCACCACTTTCAATTTTAGACCTAGACAAACATGCATTTTAGCATCGTGGCGCTCATTTGTTTTTCTTTTGTTTTATTCTCTGTTGACTGAAATTAAACATTAAACAGTCATAACAATTAACGTTTAACGTGATTAATGTTAGGCCAATACAATGTTGCTTATCACTGGGTAGTATTGGATTGTATCGTTACTTGTAATCGGTCATATTATGAGACCAATACAAGGTCAATTTTGGAAAATGTTTACGAATTGAAACACAATATTTGAGATAATCTACTGTGATTTAAAATTTAGCTAAAATTTTTTGATATGAAATCGAAATCTTTGCACATTTTGTAAAAATATCAAAGTCCAGCAAAGACAGTGGTTAGAGAAGAACCTTAGGCCTGTTACTTGCAAAAATTTTTGTTTTTTATCTTTTTTTTTTGCTGTTATTTATTTATCTATTTTTTAATTGTAAGCCAGTTTACCTGCAGCGATTTTTTCAACCTTTTTTTTTTTTTGTCTGCCTCGTTTTCAGAATTGTCGGTTTTTATTCCCTCCACCATTCTATGGAGGGTATATTAACTTTGTCATTCCGTTTGTAACTCCTCGAAATATTTATAATAGACCATACAAAGTATCTATATTCTGGATTCTAAGACGATCTAGCGATGTCCGTCTGTCTGTTGTAATCACGCCATCTTTCGAACAAATTGAGATAGCAGTTTAAAATTTTGTATACATCATAGTTTACCAATAGGCAGGTTAAGTTCGTAAATGGGCCATGTCGGTCTACGTTTTCGTAGAGCCCCCATATAACGGTACCTCCCGATATTCGGTATTTTCCAGATTTTAGCGACAGTATTTACCGGAATTATTTCAAATTTCTATTTGAAGTTCGTATTGGCAACTACAGCCTATGACAAACATTTTGTATGCAGGCACACGTCTTCGTGTAGCTCCCATATAACGGTAGATCCCAATATTCGGTATTTTGTTTATTTCAGCAACATTATTCACCGGAATCGTTTCAAATTTCATATTGGGAGATCTTGCTTACTACAACCTATGGAAAAATCGTATGCAGGTTCACGCCTTCGTATAGCCCCTATATAATGGTATTTTAATGATTTTAACGACATTTTAAGTTCGTAATGGGTGCTACAGCCTATGACAAAAATGTTGGTATGCAGCCCCCATATGACAGTACCTCCCAATACTCGGTATTTTTATGATTTGTGCGACATTATTCACCGGCATTGTAACAAATTAAGTATTTAAAGTTCGTAATGGGTACTACAGCCTATGACAAAAAAAACGTAGGTTCACGTTTCCGTATATCTCCCATATAACGGCACCTCCCAATATTCGGTATTTTGATGATTTTAGCAAATTTATTCACCGGAGTAGTTTCAAATTACGTATTTAGAGTTCGTAATGGAAACTACAGTCTGTGAGACAAAACTTTTTATGCAGGTCCAGGTCTTCGTATAGGCACCATATATCAGTACCTCCTTATATTCGGTATTTGAACGATTTAAGTACAATACTTACCGGAATTGTTTGAGATGTCGTATTTGAAGTTCGTAATGGATGCTACAGCCTGTGACAGAAAACTGTCTATGCAGGTCAAAGTCTTCGTATAGCTCCGATATAACGGTACCTCCCTATATACGGTATTTTGAAGATGCTACATTATACCCATTTATAATATGGTAATGGCTTATAACAAACAATGTCTATATAGGTCCACGTCGTATGGATCCCAATATAAGGGCTATATTTGGTATTTTTAAGATTTTAACAGCATTTTAAAGGGATTTTATTGTTTGAAAATTTCCAAATTCGTTCCAAATGGTAGAGGGTTTTCAAAGTTCGACCCGGCTGAATTTACTTCTTTTTAACTTCTTTCGTGCTCGAATTGATTTCACGGTGGAATTGAAATAAATTCCAAATAATGATAATCATTTTTTCAAAACATCGACTCGAAGTAATGTTGCCTCTCCTATCTGCGATTAGTTTTTGCAGCGAACTCCTGGATAAGATAGCTAATAGCTATAAATTAATTGAATATTTTGGAAAATTTTAGCCTTCAAAATAGTGATGGTCTTAACGTTTTGAAAAGGATGGAGAGGGAGTTCCTATACATCATTCAGTTCAATACAGACTTAACTCACTTGAGAAAGTGTCTATTAATATGTAATAATATGGAACTATTGACATAGAGGTGTGTCTTACGTAAATCGCCAACACATATGTGTTTGGAAGTCAATAGCGGATTTCTATCCAAATTGCGCAGACTATTCTACGTCTTGTTGCAGCGGATAATGGACATATGCCATAGTTAGCCATATCAAATCATCTTGTCAACAGGTCTGATGGTCACTAATCGCCAGATTTTATAATTCTTAACGCTTCACTTTCTTGAACTACTGAAATTTACCAGAAGTCAACTATCGGTCTTAGTAGTATTCCTATTGACACTATCATCGAAGGGAAGAGGCTTGAAATACATAAGAGGTTTTCTGGCATAAGTCAATTTCGGAGCATAAAAATCACAAAAAAATCGTGTCGATGACTTTTCAACTTAACTAACAAAATTGAGGTATTAAGAATAAAAAGCACTGCAAATGCTAACAAAAGTTTAATCTTGCGACTCCCAACTTTTCCTCTGTTCTTATATGTCGGTACCGCAATTTTTTATTTTTTATATTATGATTCAGATTAAGTTAGAATCGATATCAACATGTCTGGCATATAAATAGAAACATACTATATTTTAGTCGCAACAATAACAATTGTTTACAATCAAAAATGGTGTTATTATTTTTTTTAAAAAATATTGCATGTGTGGGTCAATAAACTTTAAATAAGCTTATGATTGTCAAAATTGCCTGAAAACATTTCGAATTTTTAGTTGCTATGCAATTTTAATGCACCAATATTTCTTTAAAACAAGAGAAAATATCACCTTATTTTTTTGCGTGATGTGAAGAAAACCCTTATAAATATAAGTATCAGGATTCAATATTCGAACGAGTTTCATAATCTGCAAATGCCAATGAAGTCGGTAGAAAAATGCTGTTAAAGTCTACAAATTATCATTTATTGAGCGGTACCGGCGGCAAAATGGCATACATAGGCAATGTTATTTCACATGATATGACCTACATCCAACTGGCGTTTGAGGAAGGATCTACACTATTTTAAAAATGAGGTTCAATGTTCGAATGGTCCAATCTGCATATGTAAATGGAGTCGGTAGAAAAATTATATTTAATTGTATTAATTGAGTTGTACAGGGGGCTATATAGGACATAGACTATGTTACTTCACATGAGGTAAAGACCATAAAAAAATATGACCTATACCCTACTAGTGTGTCAGGAAGGTCCTACACGATTTTGAATGGTAAGTGTAATGCTATAAAAGAGAGCCTGTAGATCAAGAAGCCTATCAGGTCTGAGTGGTATTCATACAGATGCAGTCAGAGATAAGATTAACACCTATAGAATAAAGGTCGTCCCTACCAAACCTACCGTGATGTGAAGAAACCCCTTATAATTATAAGTATCAGGATCCAATATACGAACGAGTTTCATAATCTGCAAATGCCAATGAAGTCGATAGAAAAATGGTGTTAAAGTCTACAAATTGTCATTAATTGAGCGGTACGAAGGGCTATCTGACCTATATAGACAATGTTACTTCTACATGAGGTAGAGACCATAAGAAAATATGACCTACATCCAGGAAGGGAGGACCATTGCTACAAAAGAGAGCCTCTAGATCAAGAAGCCCATCAGGCAGGTCTGAGTGGTATTTATACTGATGCAGTTGCAGATGCCATTAACACCTATAGTATGAATGTCATCCTCGGAGTCCACTACCAATCCATTGAAGCTGAAATACGTCGGCTGCATGCGTCACATGCCCGCACACCTACCCTACTCACTCCAGAAGATTTTTAGTTACAGCCTGTGAAGGTAGTTGAATTCATTAACTTAGATTCAGAGCCAGTTTAGCAGAAAGGAACAACAACAACTACTACCTCTGTCAAGACTTAAACAGTCGAAAATTTACCATTTTTCAAATGCTCTTCGGTGTGCGTCTTTATGCGCAGATATTTTTCAACTTTCCCAAAGATCTTGTATTCTTTCTCTTCTCTATTTAGGATGACTGAAGTATTTGTCTAAAAGTAAACCCAACGAAACCTTACTATTAGAGGCAACTTTTAATCAATTACCTGAAGCGAGTTTAGATAGGCGTGAAATATATTCCACAGTGGATTTCAGTTCTTTTGAAAGTGATACATCTGGTTTGTCGGTTCAGTATATGTATGTCGTCACAAGGTGTGATTTTAATTCTAACCTTTTTGTCTCCAGTGATTGTTGGAGGGGAATGGTTTGTCTGTTACACACCACAGTAAATCTTCGCTGTACACATAATTCCTACATAATAACATAATTCCTCGTCGCTCTCTCACAGGAATTAGAAAATACGTCTGGCTAGATTTCCAAAGAATTGACACTTGGTTATTTAAAAAATATAAAAAATTTCAATTTTTCGCCACTACTTAAAACAATTTGGTGTGGAATCAACAACACAACAACGTCAACAAATTTCCCCTAATGAGGCTTAATTATCCATTCACAACAACGAAACCAATTACATTGCATATCATTTGAGTCGTTTTATGACCTGCATAAATAATTTGTTCTCATTAGTTGAATAGTGGCAGTTTAAGCTGAAGACAAGAAATTGGTGGAGTTAGTTCGATAACCATTCTATTAGTTCTTAAATTCGCTTTTTTTTAACGTGGTTTATGTTATGGAGCATGTTAGTTGCAAAAGGTGTGTCAAACTGATCAATTTCGCATTAAGAGCTAACATTAACAACAATACGAAGACGACATATACTCTTCAAAATACATGTATGGATCTGATGTTTATCCATTAAGGTTGGACAATTAAATCTCAATACCAAAAAAAAAAAAAACGTAGGAAAAAAAAAACGACAACCTATTTATAGTTCCCCGCATGATTTCTTTCATAAAGTTGTATATATGTATATAGCCATGTCATAACAATTAGCGAATGGAATTGTTGCAGTGATAAGCAATATACCAGAGCAACAATAAAATGTCTGCCAAATGTCTCACCGCCAAAACAATTAATGATAATGTTTCAGGTACATTTCTGGTGCAAATGGAAACACATAATCACCATTCATATCACTGCAATTTGGGTAACTAATCTATTTCTTCTGATGTTAAGCTGCTGGAAATAATTGCTGAAAGTGATTCTCGATCGCCAATATTATGATCATATTTTCCAGCGCTAAAGCTTTGCCATTAAAAAGGCACTACATGGGAAAAGAGTATGGGTTAGTGATCCAATTTGAACGTAAAAGAAAATTTTCCTTTAAAAAAACAAGGAACAAGGTGCTAGGGATTAGAGAGACTTAAAAATGTTTACCTTAAATATTTAATAGCTCATTAATTTTATCGTTTGGCTCAGATCCGTGTGTAGCCAATTTACCAACTCCTTCATCACCAATTATATTGCAATATTGCGGTCTGGAACACAGAAAAGCTTGACATATACCCAAATAATAAAGTAAACGATCAATTTTAAAACAAAATAAGTTAAAAAGTATCAATCCGACATATGTATACCGTCAGCCAATATTCGATTATTTAAATATATTTTGACTTTTGTTATCATTATTCAAATTGTTGACCCTCTATGGAGTAGATTCCGAAAGAATGGGCCAATATTGTCCAATTCGTATCGGATCTAAATAAATACGATATAAATATTGTGACGTGCCATGTTTAGACTACATTGGCTACTTCCTTCACTTTATATGTGCGATATGTGATCATTTTTAGAAAATGCTGAAATGTCCGTGAGGTACCACATATAGTCGGCCGAAGTATTCCATTTTCATACTTCATCTAATACAGACACAAATATTGGTATGAGCAAAATAACAAGAAAAATTTTTATCCAATTGTATGCGGAATCATAAATTCCACATTCGCCTTGGGTTTCTGGTTTGGGAGAAATATTTAGATATAGCAAGTTGTGAAGAATCGCTGAATTGTTTCGCAAGTTATGACAGATAAAAATATTGAAAATTGTGACTCTTTGTGGGAGAAATACCAGAAGGGGCTCGCAGATATATATCATATTCACAACAGATCTTGTGTTAGCAAAAATGTTTGTATGTGTGAAGTTTGAAGAGAGGTGGATTCCTTATATCGCTCCCTTTGAGCGTTTTGTTTTTTAAAATCTTGAGCCCTATGTGAAGGAGATACCTGAATAAATTATCCGATCTCCACAATCTGTATAACAAATCTTGTGTTGATTGAAATATTGGGATGTACCAAATCTGAATGGCATCGGATGCTAATTTTGCATTTTCTGAGCTTCATGGATATTCAAAATTTTGACCCTTTGCCAGAAGGAGTTGACCGATATATCCCATCTTCACAGCATATCATGTGTTAGTAGAAATAATGGGATGTGTGAAATATGAAGGAAACCAGATGCTTATTTCGGATATTATAATCGTTTTTGGTTATTCAAAACTTTGACCCTTTGGGGAGGAGGTGCCAGAAGAAATGCTCCGATCTCTACCACCTTCATAACAGATCTTGTGCTGATAGAAATATTGAGATGTACCAAGTCTGAACAGAATTGAATGTTAATTTCGCGTTTTAAGAGTTTAGTGGATATTCCAAATGTTGACCTTTCGTGGGGGAGGTGCCAGAAGAAATGATCCGATCACTATCATCATTATAACAGATCTTGTATTGATTAAAATAATTAGATGTACCAAATCTAAATGGCATCGGATGCTAATATTGCGTTTTATGAGTTTCAAGGGTATTCCGAACTTTTACCCTTTGGGGGGGGGGGGGGGAAGTAATGCTCCAATCTCTACCATCTCTATAACATATCTTGAGTTGATTAAAATATTGAGATGTACCAAACCTGAATGGCATGGCGCGTTTTAAGAGCTTAATGGATATTCACAATTTTGACCCTTTGTGGGGGAGGTACTAGAAGGAGTGGACTGATACATTCCATTTTTACACCAGACTTCGGGTTAGTAAAAATATTGTGATGTGTGTAATTTGAAGACAACCGAACTCGTACATCACATTTTATCAGAGTTATAATTATTCAAAATTTTAACCCCTATGTGGGGGAGGTACTTGATGGAGTGCACCAATATTGTCCATTTTAGCACCTGACCTAGCACTGATGCAAACATTAGGATTTGCAAAGTTTGGGCAAATTTGGATAAGCCTTTCTCTTTCTGTGCAGTAAAATATTTTCTTTGAAAAGTTCGACCTTTTGTGGGGGAGGTACCAGAAGGAGTGGACCGATATTGTCCATCTCCAAACTCGTTCTAAGTTTGATAATAATATTACGATGTACCAAGTTTGGATCGGATACTCCCTTCGAGAGTTTTCGTGCGGACCATCCAGCCAGACGGACGGCGGACATCGCTAAATCGACTCCAAATGTCCGGATTTAATCCTAACAGACCTAGGTTCTGAAACCTGAAATGATATATACTCTCTCCAGCCATATGGCTGAGGTTATAGTTATCCATAAGTAATCTTCTTACCTCTCAAACATCCGTAGGCTAGTGTAAAAACTAAAATCTTTTTGTCACCATAGATAATTTTTCCTCTCATTAGGGCTCATAAAGCATCATATCAAATGCTAACCACAATCTCTCTAACAAAGCTATAAGCGTTACAAACTATGCCCAAATCTTATCTAAACATATGATTTACTTTGTTTATTGTTACAAAGTCAAATAACTTGCTGCCGTCGTCAGTAAATAATACTTCAGTCTCAAGTCTAATCTCAATGAGAACATTACGATCTATATTCACATTCCGCAATCATGCGAATTACGAGTAAATATTTAATATTTATTATAAATTAAATAAATTATTATTAATTCACATTGTGTGTATGTGTATGTGTTTATTTCTAGGCCATTGGAACCATCGGAGGAGAGTTCACTGTTGCAGCGACGAGATAAGCCCAGAGCTAGTACAAAGATGAAAATAATATTGGGCCTAGGCAAATTCTTCGAAAATCGAAGTGTCATTGTCGATATATTGGCCATATTCTTCGGAATTGGAACCTGGATTGGCATAAATGGTACATTTATACAACTGCCGTTGTTGGTGGAGGTGGCACCGGAGGGTTGGAGTTTACCTTCCTATTTAAGTGTCATGGTACAAATTGGTAATCTCGGCCCTCTAACCTATACGCTAATACAAAAGTTTTGCAAACGAAATGATGCTCCCATGATTTATATCCTATTGGCCACCGGCACTTTATCGGCAATTTTAACGGCATTTTTCTATGACAAAACTGCAGTGGTGTTTGGCGGACAACACAGTGTGGCTTTGTTTGCATTGACGATATTCACAGCCTTTACAGCGTGTACCAGTTCAGTGTTATTTATGCCCTATATGGGAAGATTTCGGGAAATCTATTTAATCACCTATTTTGTGGGAGAAGGCCTTAGTGGTCTGTTGCCCAGTGTGGTGGCTTTGATACAGGGTATTGGTGGTTCGGCGGAATGTAGGCTAGTCAACACAACTGAGACTGGAGAGCCAGTTTATGAAAAATATGTTCCCCCTCCACGTTTTGGTACGGAAGATTTCTTTATCTTTGTCTTCGTCATGATGTTGCTGAGTTGTGCCGGATTTACATTGCTTGATCGTTTGAAATTGTCGCGAACACAATATGCTGCGGTAAAAGTGGGTCAAGGTAATGATTATGTCTACTCAAGAGACACGAAAACATCGCCCACAACACTCGAAGCCAATGGCAATAAATCTACAGTCAGCGAGATGGATGATAACCAAAATAAAATTGTTGATGAAATGGCACCTGAAATATCATCACGGGTCTATGTGTTCCTGCTACTGCTAATCGGCACTGTAAGCTTCTTTGCCAATGGTGTATTTAACAGCATACAATCATATTCCTGTTTGCCGTATGGTGGTCAAGCCTATCATCTGTCGGCTACTCTAAGTGTGATAGCAAATCCATTGGCCTGTTTCCTGGCCATATTCTTGCCACATACCTCCCTGCGTAGTATTTTAAGCCTCACTGGTGTGGCCAGTTTGCTAGCGGCCTATGTATTTGTCACAGCAGCCATGAGTCCATATCCACCATTGCATGGTACCACAGCTGGATCAGTTTTAGTGGTGAGTAAATCCTCATTCCTTATATATCGATTATCCCCAAATAAATCTTTACTTGTTTTTACAGATCATAACGTGGACATTGCTAATAGGATTGGTCAGTTACATCAAATTGAGTATAACAACTGTTATGCGTGCCCAGGGTGGTAAATCCCTGGTCTGGACTGGAGCTTTAACGCAGCTGGGTTCTCTCATTGGTTCCATACTTATATTTATTATAGTCAATTATACAAATAGTTTTACAGCAGCCTATGAAGAGTGTTAGAAAGACAATATAATATTTTGTAAGGTTAACTAAATATTATTATCATTATTTTTATACGTACTTAGATTCTGGCTAGTGTTTACAACAATCATATGATATTAAAAGAAAATTGGAATAATTCAAAATGTAAAACTCTGGTTTAACAGAAGCCATAAACAGAACACTATCATGAAAGTTTAATTTTTTTATGAAGAGGGGAGAGGAATAAGCTCCCATAAAAAATTAGTTTCTTTTATAGAAAAGTCATCTCTGTGTATCTTCAGAGTTAAGTGTGATATGTGGAACAAATTGTATACAGCGTTTTATTTTCAAAATCAGCAGCATGCATCAGTATTTACACTGAGCTATAAATTATTTTATTTTTTTTGTTACATTGTTATTTAAAAATTGTAGTATTATTTAATTGGCGTTATTTGGAAAGAATAATTATGTGTTAAAAAGATTCAAATAAATTGTTTTATTATAAGGAAAATTCAAAAGTCGGGTACCCTACACCACTATGCATATTTAGTAGAGCTCCCGTAACAAAAGAATTTATTTCAAGTAGATCATACCACCTATCAACATTTGGCTTTAGAGCAGTTATAGTTTGCCATAGAGAGCATGATATCACTTGGAAAAGGATTATATTAAAAAATATATGTATCGGAGCCAAGTTGCAGAAAATGTAAACGTACGTCCCGAAATTTATTCCATTTGGACTGATATAAGCCGAGCTTTATACGATATCTGGTAGCAAATATCATTGTTATCGAATACATATTACGAATTTGAGAGACTTAAATCCCCAAATCGGATGAAACATATATATGGGGGCTACAGCTATTTCTGAACCGATTTTCTCCGAATTCGATTTACTTGCTTCTAGTCTGAATTCGTTCGGGTGTACTAACATTCAGGACTTTTTGACTGATATTAACCATTGTTTGTACAATGAACCTGAAATCGTATTAGAAATATATGTATATGGGACCTATATACAAATCTGAACCGATATTGATAAAATTTGGCAGAGGTATTTCTAGGCTACATCTGATAACTGGTATTAAATATCATTGCTGACGAATGCATATAACGAATGTGAGGGATTTAAACACCAAATCGGATTAAACATATATATGGGAGCTATAGCTATATCTGAACCGATTTTTCTCCGAACTCGATGTACATTTGGTGCACAATTAACAGGAAATCAGTTGAGGATATATATGGGAGCTATATCCAAATCTGAAGCGATCTTGAAAAAAATTGATTCACTTATTTCAGAGCTGTATCTGATATCTGGTACCAAAGATCATTCTTTTGGAGTGCCTATTACGCATGTGAAGGACTTCGGATTTAAAGTTGGATGAAACATATATATATCAACTGATTTTCTCCAAATTTTATTTACTTTCTTCTAGACTGAATTCGGTGGGATGTACCAAAATACAGGTCATTTGGACTTATATTAGCCATTTGGTGCACAATTAACTCGAAATCGGTTGAAGATATATGGGTGCTATATCTAAATCTGATCCAATTTCAATAGGGTTCGTCCTTGGGCCAAGCACATATTTTTTGCAAAATTTCATTTCAATCGGATAATAAATGCGACCTGCATTCTGTTCACATAAATACATGGACGAACGGACGGACTGACATGCATAAATCGACTCAGGAAGTGATTCTATGAAGATCCCCAAAAGTAAGTATCTCGGTTCCTTCTCCATGTTACAAACAAATGCACAAAGACATAATACCCTTACCACTATGTGGTGTAGAGTATAAATAGAATGAGAGCCCAAGGGCGATTATATGTTGGAATTCAAACGAATGTGGTTGATTTAAATCCCCGTCGGCTCTGCAAAGATGGATTATATGATCCAACGGTACTACATAGCCTGATTAAATTAAGACTATTCTCAGGTTCAAGAATCTCCACAACTGTTAATTACCCACTATATTAGCAGGTTTTTTATATCCACACCATCGAATGTCACAGCATGCATATCGGATCCAAACGAATAAGAGGAGAGTCTCACAGTTCGCCACACATAACGCAACCCATGACTTGGGTCAGACCCTATTCCAATAATCGTCTCCAAAAGCAGATCGCTCGATTCCATAACCTCTAAACCCGCACTTTGCTTAATCATTGGCCAGAATTAAGAGAGTTCACCAACCTTCGCTTCAGGGGACTGTAGCCACTCGGTATATACCTGCTGGTCGATCAAACTTTCCAGAAAGGGTAGCGGGATTAGCAAATGAGCGTGATGATCCCCGTCTTTCTAACGCTACTGATCCCATAAGTCAAAGCAGGAGCATGAGAGGAACAAGTGGCTAGACCATATGAAGTGTTTCAACATTAGAACCGATATGATATGGTTGTGGGCTACGGTTAAACCGTTCTCGAACCCTGAAGAAAAGGATAATATTACCTCAGTCAGTTTTAACAACGTAAAGGTGACTGATCCAAAGAGGTGAACTGGATATTTTGTAACCCATAATTTGCCGAGAACCCCAAGAGCGGTAGGGCGAAACTAAGAGTATTAATCCGTATCATATCTCTTCCCGCAGAAAAGGCACCACCACAGTTTACGATGGAAATTGAAATAAATAAATTCAAAAGTAGTACAGGGTTGCCCATATTCGACGGACCTTTGGGCCCATTCCATTCGACGAGGCTTGTCCGCAGGCAACATTCTTTGCGTCAATTGAATTTTGTACGGGAACAAATGCAAATCAATCAGAAAGAGCCCTACCAGTCGAAAATTTTTCGTATAAACGCTTAATGGTGTTCTTAGAAGGCGCACTTCTCACATTTTAAAAGCACGTTGAGTTTTCACAATTGACTTCTTCTGTTGATTGTAAATTTCAGAGCGCTCGCGTGGCGTGTATTGGTTCATGGTAAAAATCTGCTTGGACTGACGCTTCAAACGCGGTATGTCATTAAGCGATGTGACATCTCTGTCAAAAGTTGTGGCGTTGCCAGATGGGTCCGTCGAATATGGACAACCTTGTAGTTCCTCAAGCCGCTAGACGCGAGCACTTCGGTTACCGACGAGGAGACCCTGACCATTGAGATCTAAAAATACAAGTGCTAAGCTGTGGTGCCTCCTCTTTAATTGACCTACCAAAACTACACCATCTCATTCCAGAAGATCTTTGAATCTAGAACGCGAAGGTAACCGGATTTTTCAATTATTTTAGACAACTTTTGATTTCTGGGAATTTAAGGGTTTTTTTTTCGAAAGAAGCTCCAGAAAACGAGACACCTATATAAGGCTCTTGCTCAATATGCCGCAGCTCTTTAATTGCCCTACCAAACCTACCCCATATCACTCCAGAAGATCTTTGATTTCAGAACACGAAGGTAGACGGATGTTTCAACCTCTTAAGACATCTCCTGATTCCTGATTTTAAAGGTTTATTTCGAAAGAAGTTCCAGAAAACGAGGCACTTATATAAGACACGTGGGATGCCTTCCGACTATGGGAGACCTTTAAAGGGTTTTATAGCGGCATTCTATATGTAAAGACCTGCAAAAAATGCCTTGACATCTTCTTTTTTACTAAAGACTTCTAAAAGATGCTGTTCATAGAATGTGTCTTATCTTTCATCTACAGAAGACCTTTGGTAGTTGTTATTTCTTTAGTAGTCCTCTCAAAAGTTATTTTTTCTATATCGTTTAAAATTATTTCATCTATTAAATATCTCAATTGTAGATCAGCTTCTTAAAGGTCTTCTATCTACAGAAATCTTTAAATGGTATTCTAACTAAAATACACTCCTTAATATTCTTTTAGATGAAAAAGTTATTTAAAGGTCTTTTTTAATGCCCACTCTATAATCTTTTTAAGATAAACTAGACTTTTTCACTTCATAAGAACTCATTTATTTATTCGGCTAATAAATTGTGTGGGCCTTGTATATTTTTCTTTCAAATTTGATTTTCTATTTTTTTCTTGCATTGGCGGCAAACACATCAAATTCACTGTCATCATTGTCACCCTCATAACCGTTCAAAGAATTTGTAAATTCTCCCGAATGGTCGTGGTCCTTTGAAATACTATTCAGACTGCTGCAGCATGAAACATAATTGGAAATTGTTTCCCTTACATCCATACCATCGTCACATTTGCCAATATCATTTCCTCTTGCTTCTTTGCGGCTTTCGTTTTTATTGTAACTAAAAATGTTAATCTTATGACGGATATCGCTCGTCAAATTCCTGGTTTCACTTATATCCTTGGGTGATTGTAAAAAATAATCAATCCTATCCAATGATTCCTTAGCTCTGCGAAATAGTTGCAGACTGTCTTGTAGCAAATGACTATCATTTAATTTTTCAAAATTCTCCAATATTTTCTTGATATTCACATGAGGTTTTGTTTCCGGCGTTTGCGGGGATGTGCGATTAAACTTCTTATCTTTTGCCTTTTCAAATTCGTGTATGAGCTTGCGAATTTTTGTCATACGTTCTGGCGTAATATCAGACGCAGCATCATCGACCAAAAGCAGTGTTGAAGAAACTTCATCAATTTCATTTATGATATCTTCAGAATTTCGTATCACTGCATTGTGTTGTAGTCTGAGTTCATTTAAGCGATCTTTTAAATCTTGTAAATAGATGTCAACACGCTGAATTTTTAAAGCTTCATCGGGAACTAAAATTGAAATTTATATAAACTTTATGGATATTTTTTAAATAAATTGAAAATGCAACATACGAGTAAATTTCCGATTATGCTCCATTGCACAATGAATTTAATAGTTTAATTTGCCAAAATAAATATCTTTGTTGCAAAATTATTTTTTTTTTTAATTTTTGGTAATTGTCACGTTTTTAATTAAACTTCAAACAATTTTTTGAAATAATCAAAAGAAATAATGAATTTGAAATAATGAAAAAATGTGCAACCAGTTGTATCGTGTGTGGCTTGTATGATATCAGTGTTTTTGCTGAAATCTTGATTTTTAAAGGTAAGTTTAAAAATACTATATTCCTATGATAAATACAGGGTGAGATGAAAAAACTGCAACCAACTTCAGACTGCTGTCATTTCTAAGCCACTCGTCCAACAGCTGTTAAAATTATTCCAGTGACAGCTCATTATATTGTTTACAAGCGTACAAATGCATTTTGGTGAGAATTTTCCAGAAAAAAAGTTATTCGTGATGGAATTCAAGCGAGATAGTGTAATTTCCTTATATTTGGCTTGAAAACCACAAGTGGCTATCGTTAGAGCACTTCAGCATTTAAATGTGAATAAATCGTTTGTGTCTCGTTCCGACGTCAAGAAAGTGGACGGAAGAAAACAGCAACATCAGCAGAAATGGTTCGAAATGTAAAGAAGCGACTTGATGGAAACCCGCGTCGCAGTGACCGAAAAATGGCTCGTGAGCTGAACATATCGCAATATTCCATTTGGCAATTATTAAAAAATGAGCTCGGGGTAAAACCATTGAAATTCCAAAAAGTGCAAAAACTTACACCGCAACAGAAAGAAAATAGACTCAAAAGAGTTGCTTCGCTTGGTCGAAAGTGGTGAAATGCCGAATTTGGGTTTCTCCGATGAGAAAACATTCGTTGTCCAGCAGTTTGTAAACAAACAAAATTATCGTGTTTACTAGCCAAAGAGGTCGGCTGAAAATGTGCAATGAGGTTCCTCGCTTCATTTTCAGCGCACAATGGCCACCATAATCTCCGGATACCAATCCGTTGGACTATTGTGTCTGGAGTGTTTTAGAAAGCAAGGTTGGCACTTAAAAATACCAAAGTGTCGACCACCTCAAGTAAGCGCTTCCCCGGGATTGGGCCAAAATATCGCAGGGCAATATTCGGGCAGCGTGTGACGGTTACATTGGCCGTTGGAAGACCATAATTCGTGCCAAAGGTGACCAATTCGAACAAATTTAAACTTATTGTAAAATTTGATGCTATTTCCGACATTTTTTGTCAAAATCACCAAAATCTCGTAGGCATATGTAATTTTCTGTCATGGGTTAAACCTCGCATTAAAATCTTCAAATACGGAATTGTTTCATGGACTTGCGAAACAAGTTTGAAACAATTCCGGTCTTTAGTGTATTTAGAATCATTGAAATACCGAATGTTGGAAGGTACCGTTATATGGGAGCTATCCAAAAACGTTGACCGACATTGCCCATTTACGAACTTAATAAATATATACTTTGCAGGGTCTAACATGAGTATTTCGAAGCGTTACAAACGGAATCACAAAGGTAATATATCATCCATAGAATAGTAGAGGGTATAAAAAATGAGAAGAGAATTTAGATAGCTTTAGAAATTATTGATTTTGGATTAATATAGTTGGATGTCAACAATTTTGGACTATTACTTTAGACTACGAAACTTCACATGAAAAAAATAAGGTTTCCATACTCTCGGTTAGTATGGACCAAGTAAAATATGATTGCTTCTGATAATTTCTCGAATAAAAGTTTCATTCACTTTATTTTATACTGACGGCTATTTCTTTAAAATGGAAAGGGCTATTCTTTTGGTTGTTATCTACCTAAAAGTCCTTGTAAACAATGTGTTAAGTTGAAGATGTTATGATCAGACAATTAAATTCTATATTTTCCGCTGTGACCTCAAAGCTAATTAAAATAAAAAAAAAACACATGTAATAAGATTCTAATAAAATTAAGTATATATGCAGGTTTTTTTTTTTTTTTGTAACGAAATTTTAAGTTTCAAAACTAAAAGATGTTTTATAATCATCATTTAATGATCAGCTCAAAGGTTCATAATGATGAACACCAGTCACACTACCATCCACATGATGGACATCACTACTGTGATTCTGATGTATTGTTGATGCATGATTAATGATATAAGATCCTGCCCCTGACGTATCATTTGTCAGAAGAACCGTCTGATGTTGATCATTTTCTGTTAGTGCCCTCAATTCCAATTCGCATATCAACTGCGAAACACGCATTTTTGCCTCGGCAATCATTTTGGGACTCAGCGCTTTTACACTGGAACTAACGCTCTCGAAGAATAAATCAACATGATTTTTCTCTTTTGGCGCCACTGTTGGTGCCGTCCTATTCATATTACTGCCCATTAGCTCTTTAAATGAATCCATTAACTCATTCTTGTCCTTTTGTATTTGCAGCAATAGTTTCATGCCCTCCTGACGATCGGTAACTTCTTCGTCTTCTGCTTCCTCCACCTGAACATTTGACACGGGCATTTCTTCTTGTTTGACAATTTTACGTTGGCGTATAATAGTGGGTTTTTGTTGTAGCTCCGGTTGAGTGTCAACAATGTGACTCATTTCATCACCAGTGATTATTTCGGAATTGCCCATACTATCATCTTGTATGTATTGATCCTCAGATGTTTGTTCGTCCGTTTGAGGTTCATATGTAGTGTAGTCGTTTTCCGGTTCCGGCCTAAAAGCAAATCGTTAATCATTATCCGGTGTTAATTATTAATTTATTACACAAATTTAATCATGCTCAGACTTACTCTTCTATATACTCATCTATACCATTGTCACTATCCTCTGGTGTTGGTGACATCCTCCTGCGTTGTAGGTAATATTTACTTCGTTCCCGTCGTATACTCAAATTCAAACGTGCCACTCCTTCACCTTTATTAATTAGAATCTCCAAATTGCGTGCATGTTTACTTGTTCTCTCGTGACGCTGCAAATGACAGCGATTGCAATCCAAACGACATTGGCAAGCACGACAAAATGGTTTATTCGGGTCATCATCGCAGCGTGCCAGCCATGGTGAAAATATATTTAACCATTTTTCACAGAATTTTTGTGAATATTTCGGTTTACTAGCAGATCCACCGCCACTGCTGTGATGTTCTTTAACGGTCCCGGCTCCCGGTTGTGATTTCAATTTTCTTACCTTCCTAAAAAGAACAGCCATAAAAAAGTAGTTTGGGAAATCGAAAAGGGTATTGAAAAATAGTAGGAGTGTTACACAAGGCTGATTTTTAAAGTTCCAACACACGCTCGGTTGTTTTACTTACCACTCAGGGTCATGGGGATCATCTTGAAAACTCATTTTGACTTCCGATCAAAGAAGGTTTTGCTTAATTTTATTATTTATTTAGTGCAATAAAATATCAATCCTGATACAATCGTGAAAGTATTAAATCAGGTCGAAGAAACAGCGTCATACCTTTGTTAAAAGCGCTCCACAGAAAATGTCACGAAAAACAACGCTGTATTTACACTCAAATGTTTGTTGTGAATTCATTATTGGCTTGTTTGTTTTTGTATTAGCAAAGACTCGAACCAATCCCATTCCATTCCCGTCGTTTATACAAGACAAATTGACTTCATATCATCTTTGACATCACATTTTAGCTATTTATAATTGATCAAAGTGGGTAAATTCTAAAAATGTTGAAAACAAATTACGAGAAAATAAAATTGTGGATATATAAGTGAACCAAAAAAAAAAACAAATTAAAGGACTGGGCAAAAAAAATTGTCAAGCAACTTCTTTCCGAGAGAGTAAGGTAGTTTTATTCTCTTTTGCAAGGAAAATGGGAAAAGTTAACAGACTGTATTCCTGTATTCCTAATCAGCTGATTTGTCAAAAAATATCAATTTGTCTCCCATTAAAAGCATGGTACAATAAGGAGGTAGAACAGCTTCGTGAAAGTACAGAAATACAGCCCTGAGGCTATGCCCGCTTCCTGTCAGAATTATTCAAAATTATAGGCAACAAGTGGTTTTTATTTATTTGATATTTTTTGTTCATTTTTTAAATGCCTGAAATAGCGCGAAAAATGAATGAAATGCTTGGATGTTCTCTCAAGAATATGTTCCCAAGTGTTCAATCTTTCAATTCCATGGCAAATTTGGCTAAAATTATTAATGCGCGCCCCGCAATTTAAGTTTCTTCCAATCATTGATTTTGAAAATATTTTATTAAAATTGGCAGAAGTCGGGTACAAATGTAATCAGCTGGGAGTTCTACCTTACCTTTTTATTGTACCATGATTAAAAGAATTAAAAGAAAGGAAGCACCACCAATTTCACAAGTTTTATGAATAAAAAAACGAAATCAGCAATAAAATAAAAATATGAACAATACAAAAGATAGATTTGATGTATTCCCCGGAATCCTTCGAAGGTGTTGCTAATGACGTTTTTCAAAAAATGTTGGAAATAGTATTTAATTTCCTTATTACATATTAAAATTTACGTTTTTCACATTATGTAAAGTTGTTCTCGAAAAATAACAAGTCTCGCTAATTCCAAAAAAATATATATTAAATTGAAAGCACAAAAATATATAAACAAAAAATAGAAAACATCTTATCGAATGTCGATGAATAAGAAGAAGAAGAATTGCAAGAAGAAATTTCTCCAGCAAGAATTTACAAACTCTATCTGAAAGAACTGTCAACATTTCTCTCTCCAAACACTCTATACAGACGACTTCCAGTAACAATTTGTAACAATTGTTACAAATTTTAGCTTTAGAGTCAACAACAAAAGTCATGTCAAGTATGCATATACATCTCTGTTTTTTCTGTAACTTACCTTGTCAAATTACACTGTAAAGAAGACAGATTCCCATCTCTGATTTGTGAATGTACCATGGTTGAAGAATACAGGTAATCTCATCGACACAGCTGCTGGGACAATGAACTGTCAAGCCAGCAGCTGTGTTGACGCGTCTACCTGTATTATTCTACCATGATTCTGAGTAAACCTTATAGCGCGTTTACATACAAAATCTTTATACTGGCTAACAGTGCTTTTGATAATTTGTCCGATTTTAAAAATTTTGGGCCATGGTTTTTTATTGGGAGTTAGCTGATGATACGTTTTTATGTGAAGATTTATCCTTGGCAAATTCATTTCAAAAAAGACTATCCATCTCTGCATTGTAATTTAACTTGTCAAATTTCACTGAATAAAAAAGGTCCCATCTCTGATTTCTATGTATACAATGGATTAATAAATATACATTTCGACAATGAGATGTCTAATTAATTTTGATTTTTTTTTTTCAATGATTGTTTTCCTGGTGCTAGATTCTTGTTCTATGAAAATATGAAATGAAGAATATTCCCATGGTAGAATCAAGAAGGTAAAGTCATGCAATTATATCTTTACAATTTCTTTCAAATATTATTCATTTGACAACATCTCATTGTCAAAATTTGTATGTATAAATCCATTGTACATACACAAATCAGAGATGGGAGCCTGTTTTTGTATAGTAAAATTAAATGACTTGACCTTCTTAATTTTACCTGACATTTAACATTTCATGAACACCGTTTTCGGCGAATACTAGTAAAACTCGTAGGCAAGAAAACACACAAATTTTTCATTACTACATTTTAGGCCGGGGAAAAAATAGTAGCATGATTACCAGTTTCCGATTGGCAGAAATGTTTCTAGTTTTCCGGTCCCATACTTACTGTACAAAGCAGAATGTTACTTATCTCTCATTACCATTAAAATGGTACGGGAACACAACAAAATGGTTTCAAGACTTTGTTTTATTAGGCTATTAACTATTTAAGCTCAATATTTAAATAATGTAGTTTTATTTAATAAAAAATTAAGATTTTTACCACAGCAGTAAACCTCTAGCACACTTTCAGCCACACAACGGTTATTCATGTTCTCTCATTTCGCTCTCTTTTACTAAAATCATATGTAACAGTGTAGCATCAAGTAACAAACCACAAAATTTATCATCGAATATTTAGCAAAAATACATACTTCTCAGGTGAAAAAGGTGATAATCTCAGAAAGATTTTTATCATTTACCTTTTTTCTAATTTTACCAATGATAAATAGGCCTTATTTCTCTTCAAAGTAGTTCTCTCAAAGCGAATTTTACATTTCGCTCTTCTACAAGTCCAACCAAAAAAAAAGTTAACGAACAAACCTATTATCCACACTCTGATTACACCAAATACAGCGAAGTATAATTGTACCTTTTGCATTTTTATAAAAATTGTCTCTCCAGTTTTTAATAAGTTTACAGTGAAAAATTGAAAGAAAAACCAATAATACTAGCGATTTGGAAGTGTTAAATGATGAATTAAAGCAAAAATATATGGTAATTTGAAAACTAAAGTGTATTATTGGCAAGCAAAGCAACAACAAAACTAACAATAAGAAGTCTTTGACGACCATTATATACAAGGCGACTGCGACTACGGCAACCAATAGCAGCAGAAAAAAAAAGTAAAATAAAAGCAGGCAAATACCATCATCATCTATCCCAACAACAACGAAGACGACGACGACATCCAAATGCTGGCAGAGCGACATAGTACATTATCCATCAACAACAATTGCTTTTTAATTTCCAATCGTTCGTTATGTTGTTCCAAACAAATTGAAAAGGAAAATTATTCTGAAAAAAGTGAAGTTGATACAAAATACAAGAGTTTATAATTAATTTGATAATAATAGACTACGCATTAAAAGTAAATATCTACATACAAAGTGCGGCAAGGTGCATAATTTAGTGAGAGAATAATTATTTTTAATATTGTTTGAAATCGTTTGGTAAATTAACAACAACAAAAAAAACAAAAATGTATTTCAATCAAAAGCATATAGAATTATTAACAACAAATCATAACAAAGCTTAGGAATCAGTGTATATAAATGAGTGGACCTACATATGTATGTACATACTGGTGTATATATGTAGATGTTTGTGTATTATCTAAAAACATATGATATACAGTCGTGGCGAAAATAATGATTACCCATTCGTAAGGGCAAAGTGAACGAATAAATTAATAAAGGAAATATTGATAAACTGTTAACAAGGGGATGAGAATGACAGACATTTAAACAAAATTTTTACTTGTCTAAGTAATTTTTATTGTAAATCTGGTTGCTTTTTTAAGGATTACTCGGAAATTACAGAAAAAGGGAGGTTCGCAATTGATGAAAAAATATATGCTATAAAGTAGGGTACACACAATCGCGTATTTTTTATTTTTATGGCTATAGAGGAAATATCATTTGATACGGCTAAAACGTGCCTTTTCAAAATAACGGCTTAGACCATAGGTCTCTTTGGACCAAATCCGTTTTAGGATATTTGGCGTCGATCTGTCTGTGTAGCTGATTGGTACGCACGATAACTCTTGAAGGGAGTATCCGATTTGATTCGAACTCGTTACATCGTAATATTATTATCAAACTTAGATCGAGTTCGGAGATTGGCAATATCTGTCCACTCCTTCTGGTCAAAACATGCCTCATAGAAATAACGGTTTTAGACCCTAGGTCTCTTCGGACCAAATCCGTTTTAGGACATTTGGAGTCGATTTAGCGATGTCCGTCTGTCTGGCACAAAATATCAACATCATCAAAGAAAATAATTTACTGCACAGAAAGAGGATAATCTGATTTTGCTTAAACTTAACCAAAACGATCATAAAATCCGAAATAAGCATCCGGTTCTTTTCAAATTACACACATCACAATATTTTAATTGAACAAAGGTCTGGCGTGAAGATGATATATATCTGCGAACCCCTTCTGGTACCTCCTCTACAAAGGGTCAAAATTTTGAATATTCATGAAGCTCACAAAAATCGAAATTAACATCGGATTCCATTTAGACTTGGCACATCTCAATATTTCCATCAATACAATATATTTTATCATAAAATCCGAAATAAGCATCCAGTTCTTTTTGAATTACACACATCGCAATATTTTAATTAAGCCAAAGTCTGGTGTAAAATTGGGATATATCGGTCCACTCCTTCTGATACCTCTCTCACAAAGGGTCAAAATTTTGAATATTAATGAAGCTCACGAAACACGAAATTAACATCCGATTCTATTCAGACTTCGCACATTTTTTCCCAAATTACAGATTCTTTCTGAAATATGTACCAATGCCTAACGGAGGATCAATAAATTTCAGTTATCTACATATGAGCGTAAAATGAAATGGAAGTATTTTAATACTTGACCGGTTAACAAAACAATTCTAGTGCATTTAGCAATAAAGAAGAATATTCTACCTACCGCAAAAAGACAACATAGGCTGGCTAAAATGTATGAAAACATTGATGCAACAAGTAACCTGAGCCACCAATTGCTGCAACGTGAAAGCAATCTTCAATTCCGTGGTAGCTCACAATCATTCAAAGCCCGTCTATATCGTGAGCGTCTACGGATTGCCCGCAACTTATATAAAACAGATCTGAAAGGCCATTTCGGTTGTGTCAATGCTATTGAATTTTCGCATGGCGGGCAATATCTGGCTTCAGGTGAGTTACAAAATGTAATTGATTTTAAATAATTATATAAATATTTTCCGTTGATTTTAGGTGGTGATGACAAACGTGTTTTAGTATGGGATATTGAAAAATCATTGGCTGGAACTGTCGGACCCAGGGCCTTGGCCACAGAACAATCCAGCAATATATTTTGTCTTGGCTTCGATAGTAAAAATCGCAAATTGATCTCGGGTGGAAATGATGCCTTAGCTATTTCTCATGACTTTGAAACGTAAGCATTAGATTATTTTAGAATTCTAGAAGAAATCTGATTTGATCCAATTGTTTTGTATTACAGTGGTAAATTGGATAACGTTTTCAAACACGATGAACCCGTCTATGGCCTTTCTATTGACCCACAAAATGATAGCATTTTTGCCACAGCATCTGAAAATGGTGTTGTATTGTTATTTGATCAACGCACCGATCCCGCCGATCCCCTTGTGGTGGCCTCATTATCTTCATCATTTCATGCTGTTGAATTCCATCCAAATATGAGTCATCTTTTGGTTACAGCTAATTCGAAGAAGGGGGCAGCTTTATATGATATTCGTAAACCAAAAAAGTATGTAATGTTATCAGTTCCCTGCACTGTCTAAGTTGTAACGTTTTGTTCCTTTTAGGCCAGTAATACAATATGGAAATCTTGATAATGTGTGCAGCTGTATGAGTGTACGTTTCAACCGCACTGGCAATCTAATTTTGGGTTTACGCCGACGTTTAACACCTATTTTATATAGTGTTAACTCTCCAGAAAGAATTTGTACTTTCTACAATGGCAATTATTATAATTCGTGTACCATGAAAAGTTGTACCTTCGCTGGCGAAGATGATGAATTAGTAATATCAGGGTCAGATGATTTTAATTTATATGTTTGGCGTTTATCCGATATAGACTGTAAGTGATAATACGACGATTCTTTTATAAGTAGTTTCACCCAACCAATTTTATTAAATTTTAGTGGAGGGTGTTGAACAGTGGGTCGAACACACTCAAATGGTTTTATATGGCCATCGTTCAATTGTCAACCAGGTACGCTACAATAGACAAAAATGCCTGTTGGCCTCTTCGGGTGTGGAAAAGATTGTCAAGGTAATTTAAATTTGAATTTGCAAAGAAATATGTTTTTAATAAAACAATTAACTTTCCACAGATATGGAGTCCATTTGCCCAACCCAACTGGACTGGGACTTTAACAACAGAAGCCACGTGTTCAGATAATCCCCGTGAATTATATTCACCATACAATCTATTTACCATGGCCCTACCAGAAAACTGGCATCACTTGTCTCACGATTACAGCAGTGAAAATACCAACGAAGATCCACGTATGATGGCATTTTTCGATTCGTTAATACAACAAGAAATCGAAGGTTGGGATACCGATTCAAGTTCCTCCGATTCGGCCGAGGAAGAAAGAAGTATTACATCCATAACACGTTCCAGTTGTGAAAGTAGTTCAAGCAGTAGCAGTTCCAGTAGTAGTTCTTCCTCAACCAGCACAACATCACAGAGTAGCAGTAGCAGTTCATCCAGCAGTTCTTCATCGGCCGACAGTGATAGTGATAATGAAAACAATGCCTCAACTGTGAGAAAAATTAGACGTTTGCGACGTGCAGCCAGACGCAGGCAGACATTGGCACAACGAAGAGTGCAAAGAAATCATCATCAACGTACGCCTCGTACCCACAGCAACCACAAACAGAATAAAAAACCACGGAAACCTAAAGTGAAATTGAATCAAATACAAAAACCTGCAAATCGAATAGCATATTTAATCTCAAAAAAACGTAATACATTACGTCGTTTGGCAATTAAAGGTGCCACTCTGGATGGTCGACGTCCCCGCAAATTGGTTGTGGTCGTAAATGGACGTAAGAAACAAAATAATCAACGTCTTCCGGCTAAACGTATGGCGGAAAACACCACTGCTGCAACAAATGATGCCGTCTGTAGTAATAACGAAGAACCAACAACGTCAAAAGCGGCGGCTGCTGCTGCCGCATTAGCTCCACGTGGTTCCAGTTCATGTTATCGCAAATGTCGAATGAAAAAATCACCAATAAGAAAAAATGGTAAATGTTTTACTTTATTTAAATACGAAAGATATCATCAATTAGGCTTTGAGCATAGAACAATATATGATTTGTGTAACCAGAATATTTTAAGGTCATCTACTGACCGAAAAAACTTAATTGTCTTCCCTTATAATGAAGACCTTTATTGTCATTGCGGTTTTTATAATTAGAGGTTCTTTTAGGTGGTGTCTTTCTATAAACGAAACTATGAAAAATCGACTAAATCAATCATAATTTAGGTATTCAAAATAGGATAATCAATTAGGCATTGAGATGAGAATAATACAGGTTAACCAGGGATACCATAGTATTTTGCAAATAATAGCATCAAATTTTAGAATAAGTTTAGATTTGTTCGAATTGGTCAACTTTGGCATGAATTATGACCGTCGAACGGCCAATGAAACCGTCACACGCTGCCCGAATTTTGCTCTGCGGTATTTTGGCCCATTCCCGGCAAAGCGCTTGCTTAGTGATCGACACTTTGGTATTTTTTAGTACCAACCTTGCTTTCCAAAATACTCCAGACACAATAGTCCAACGGATTGGTATCCGGAGATTTTGGTGGCTATTGTACGCTGGAAATAAAGCGAGGAACCCCATTTTGTAACCATTCTTGGCTGGCGCGTGCTGAGTGCTATGGTGCTGAGTCCTGTTGGAATGTCCAAGGTCCGCGGCCAAAATGTTTGCGTGCCCAATGCTTTAATACACCCTCCTGAATATTTTCGAGATAATATTCGGCACTTATTCTGATGCCAAGGTCGATTAATACGAGCGGAGAGCAATCATTGGCTGTTATGGCGGCCCACACCCACACCATGGCCGAAGCTTGAGTTCTGGTGGCCAACCGAAGGTGCACATTTTTAGCTGACATCTTTGGTAAACCAAATTCGGCAGTTCACCACTTACCCCGACCTCATTTTTCAATATTTAGAGAATGGAATATTGCGATATGTTCAGCTCACGAGCCATTTTTCGGCCACTGCGACGCGGGTTTCGATCAAGTCGCTTCTTTACTTTTCGAACTATTTCTCTTGCTGTTTTTTTCCGTCCACTTCCTTGACGTCGGGCTACGCTACCAGAATCACGGTAACGAGCGATGGTACGAGACACAAAAGGTTTATTCACATTTAAATCCTGGAGTGGTCTAACGATGGTCACTTGTGGTTTTCCAGCCAAATATAAAGAAATCACACTATTACGCTTGAATTCCACCAAGAATAACTTTTCTGGAAAATTCTCACCAAAATCCTTTTGTACGTTTGTAAACAATATAATGAGCTGTCACTGGAATAACTTTAACAGCTGTCGGACGCGTGGCTTAGCAATGACAGCAGTCTGAAGTTGGTTGTAGTTTTTTCATTTCACCTCTACTCTTCACATATCTTCATCGGATAAAAAAAAATCATTCATAAATGTCTATGAAAGTAGCTTCGGTAGATGAAGAACATTTTACGGTCCTTCTGTGATTTAAGATAATTTTATGCCTACTATAGATAGAATATATCCTGCAATTTTTAGATCTAAAACAAACCCCATTTTATAAAACGTACGGGTCTTCTATATTTAGAAACCTGCTTACATGTATATACATTTCTCAGGCTTTATGTAGACATTCGTTAAATAGAACACCTTTCAGAGGCCATCTGTTAAAGCAAAAGATTTTATTGATATTCAAGTGGATAGGAAACCTTTTTAAACCACTCTGACGAAATTTCAGATCATCATGGCATAGAAATATTCGCTCTCACCCACATTCTCGAAATAAAAACCCTTTAGATTTCAGATTTTAAGCGAACATCTTAGATTTTAAGCGGGTTGGAAGATTGATAGCCGGGTGCATTCTATAAATAGTAAGCCTTTTGCAGAACTTCTGTATAGAAATTCTAGAAATTCTATGGTTATAAAACAACTCATATGTATGGATATTCTTAAATAGAAGATCTGTAGACATCTTTCCAATCTAATTAACCGAAATTTAATGTTGGCGTGGCATAGAAACTTTATCTGCAAAAATGTTGGTCTAGCACCCACATAGATTCCTTCTTTCATAGCCACGCATTTCCGATTTGAAACACATGGAAGTTTATTTGTATTTCAAAACCGTCAAGTATCTTTCAAGGTGTAGGATATAAAACTTTTGACTGGCCCAACATGGAATCCTTTTTACTTATATGATGTTAAAACTAACCCAATTTTCTTCCACTCTCCATTACAGACTCCGCAAATTGCTCATCGACTGAAGATTCGGGTAATTTTGCTTTTAGCAGTTCTAGTCGCTCCAATACTGTTGCTGCTGCTGCCACTGCCGCTGCAACCACATCTCAATCTCAATCATCTCACAACAATAACAACAACACCAATAATGCAAATATTCCTAGTACCAGTACTGGCATAACATCAAATTTTCGAGGTAAGCTAAGCTCGTTATTTTATTTTTCATGTTCTCCTCCTTCGCAATTTACATTTATAATATATATGCTCACAAATATATAGAAAAAAGGAAGCAATTAAACCAACACTTAAAACATAAAATGCCAACTGTAAATCGTTAATATTTAATATTTTCCATATATGTTCCGATTCTCCGGCGTAATCTTCAAACAAGTGTATGCGACTACGGGCAACATATTGCTGCATTTCTATCCAATGATTAATGAATCCGCCGGCCAGTAATTTCAATAGGGCCACATTGATTTCCTCCTCGAAAGGTGAATGTTTTTGCATTGGAAATGCAATGTGATATGCCTTGGGACATTCTGGTATCATGTAGACTTTTTTGGTTATAAAATAGTATATATCCACCAGGCTTAAGGAGTAGGCCCGTGTAACGGCTGCAAATTTTCCACGCTTTGCCATAATGCTTATTAAACGTTCTTCAGGTTCTCCCACCAGCAACATTCGTTGATCTAAACTTTGATATATTGGCGAGCTATGGCCGGTAAAAAGATCATCCTTAATGGCGGGATGCTTGTAAAATATTCTCACATTTGCCTTGTTTAACTGTTCCAAAGTTGTTATATCTTTATAGTATAACGGTTTTATGAAAACCGTGGCCAAACTTGAATCAAATAAGGCACCAATTATCACACTAACCAAACACAGAGATATAGCAAACATACGCTCAGCATTTGAGGGGGGAAATCGCAGAATAATCATTCGCCCCCAAAGAGCCCATGCATCAATGAATACGGTATACCATCGGCAATCTGCTCCCCTGAGGTTTCGCATTTCATTGGGGTTTAATTTGAGATTTGCTTGCCTCAATAGTACCCAGAAAAATGATGCTAGTATACCCACAATAGTATAAGCTAGCCAGATACTTTCATCAACGGCATGTAGTGGAAGAATCGAGGCTGGTATACGTTTGGCTTTCATCACATAACAGCACAACTGGTCCATATACACGGATGAGCTGAATGCTATGTCATTGGCCAAATAGTCTTTAACGAAAAACCCAGTCAAAACAATATCCGTTTCGTTGCGCATCAAACGACCCAGGGCACCATTGAAGGAGCCATTATCCAAACGGGAGCTGAAGCAAACAACAAGATTGTAATTGTTATAATTTAATCATTGTATAACGTACTCACCCAAAGAACTCATCATCTGGCCACTGCAACTGCATTGAATAATTCAAATATGATTCCAAAAAATGTGCTATTTTACCATCGGTGCCTTTGACACCAGTTAACCGTTTGCCCTCAGCATCAGCCGTTAAACTTGAAAACACTGAATCGAATATATAAACCTTCATGGGATAGCCGTTCATGTTGTGAAACAATTTTTGAATATTATACTCCTCAATATCAACCAAGGAACCGAAATTTCCATTTACATCCCTTACAAAGGGATGAAAGAAACGTTTGTGTGTTGGTGTAATATAGACAACTTTATAAATACGTTGCCATGACCAATAGTTTTTACTTTCGTTCAAAACCACAGGCCACAAATCGGTGATTTCGTTGATGAATAACAAAAACAGGAAACCTTCTCGACTCGCTTCGGTTGCCAAAAGTGTTGATAACATTTCCACATTATAAATTTCCAACATTTTATTGGGACATTTGGTATCCTTGAAATTTCCTTTGCTATTTTCCAAAGGTATCTCAAAAGTTGTGTAGATTTCTTCATAGATTCTATTATCCTCTGCTACAGTTGCCACATTTATATAAAGACAATCCAAAGAATTTACAATCTCTTGAATATTTTGCCAATCCATAGATGTTGTTATGTGGTTATACATTAATAGAAGCAACACTTTTATTGTTGTCCTTGCAGACATATCCGCTAAATTTGACTATTTGTTGTTTATATGGCTACACGGTGTTTTTATATAAATTTCTGGTTCCATGATCTTTGCTATGGTTGAATGAAAATATATATGAAAACAAGATAGACCTTTTTTTGGTTTTATTTACTTGTTGTTTATTCTTGTCCACCGGCTACCTGTCTGGTACCACCTATATGTTTTATTTTTGACAAATGAACAGTGGTTTAACGATAAAGTGTGGTAGACGATGTAACAATATCTGTATTGAAGCAAACAACAAAATTGTAAAACACACAAAATTAAATCCATAGAAGTAGCTGGCAGATGAAATAAGAGCTTATGTATTGGTTATACAGGGTGCGGTAAAAAACTGCAACAAAGTCAAACGCCATAATAAAAATAAAGCAAAAAAATGTCGGAATTAGCATTAAATTTTAGAATAAATTTTAGATTTACTCGAATTGGTCACCTTTGGCATGAATTTTGGCCTCCAAACTGGCAATGAAACCGTCACGCGCTGCCAGAATGTTGCTCTGCGGTATTTTGGCCCATTCCCGGCGAAGCGCTTGCTTGAGTTGATCGACACCTTGGTATTTTTTAGTGCCAACCTCGCATTCCAAAATACTCCAGACACAATAGTCCAACGGATTGGTATCCGGAGATTTTGGTGGCCATTGTGCGCTGGAAATGAAGCGAGGAACCTCATTTTGAAAAACATTCTTGGGTGGCGCGTGCTGAGTGCGATGGCGCTGAGTCCTGTTGGAATATCCAAGATTTGCGGCCAAAATGTTTGCGTGTCCAAGGCTTTAATACACCCTCCAGAATATTTTCGCGATAATATTCGGAATTTATTCTGATGCGACCATCGTCTGTTATGGCGGCCCACACCATCACCATGGCCGGCGCTTGAGTTCTTGAGTGGGAACTACAGTCTGTGACAGGAAACTGTCTATGCAGGTACAGGTCATCGTATAGACCCCATATATCAGTACCTCCCTATATTCGGTATTTGACGATTTTAGGTATACTCACCGAAATTGTTTGAGTTGTCGTATATGAAGTTTGTAATGGATGCCACAGCCTGTGACAGAAAATTGTCTATGCAGTTTCAGGTCTTCGTACAGCTCCGATATAACGGTACCTCCCTATATACCGTTAATTAATCACCGTTAATTTCAAATTTGAATATGGTAATGGCTTATGACAAACAATGCCTATGTAGGTCCACGTCTTGGTACAGACCCCAATATAACGGCTATATTTGGTATTTTTAAGATTTTAACATAATTTTTACCGGATTATATTTTTTGAAAATTTCAAAATTCGTTCCAAATGGTGGAGGGTATTCAGAGTTCGGCCCGGCCGAACTTACTACTTTTTAACTTGTTTTTCACATTAGATAGAAACTCCGGTAGCGGAAAATTGTCTATGTAGTTTCTCTTTTTTCTATAACGCCCACATAACGGTATTATCTAACTGATTTCAGTGGCATTTATGGTTAGGACCTTCAAACTCTCAAAATGGGTCATTGCCGCTATTTGCCACATAGTGAAGATTATTCGTATTGGAAAATTTCATGTAACGATGATAGTTCCCAATTGCAAAATTTGAGCAGAGTTCTCGATATTCCGTCCACAGTTATTTCATTAAAGCTATTTGAAAATTATAAGCATATTTGGGATATAGATAACAGACATTATTGAATTTTTAGATTCATGTGTATGTCCTTCTTCCGTAAAAAATTATTACCTTTCAAACCACTGTTCGACGACAAAGATATAAATCTGTATTCCAGTATTATTGTTTATTTTATTTTTAAATAAATCACACATGTATATATTTTTATTTGATTAAACACATACGCCCTCCGAACAAAACAAAAAAGCCAATCAACGGCCTGTCATCTCCTACAGACCTTGTTGAAATATACACTACTTGTTTACACCTTCGTCTTCGTTTGTGTTTACCTCCCATTGTATATTACCCTGACAACGTTTGTTCTACTCCAGTAAGTTTCCTTTTTTTCCTTCTTTCGAACAGCAGTGAAACGAAAGCCATTAACGAACCAAGTAATATCACATAAAAAGACAATTGTAAATCTTCGACCGTCAAGACTTTGAATTCCTCCTTTTGTTGTGCCAGGGTTTGGTCTGTCGATAGTTTGATGTCAACATCCGTTTGCATGTCGTCTATGAATTTATCAAATAATCCGGCAGATTGCATTCTCAGCAGTAATTGATTTACGGTCTCTTCCCAGGGAGCATTCTTGTGCCAGACATATGAGATTGTGTAATATTTTGGACACTCTGGCACAATCCAGACTCGTTTTGCTCTGATATAGCTAAGATATTCCAACAAAAGGGTGGTGAGTCGTGTCACCCCAGCCATGCCACCAATTTCGACCACATCTTTCAAAATATCAGCATTTAAATCCTTGACATGTTTCAGTTTCTTGTTGAGGCTGGCAAAAAGCGGTGATGTTTCACTGAAAAATAAATCATCACCCATCGAGGTGTATTTGTAGATGACAAACAGACCAGTTTTATCCAAATCTTCCATTGTCTGAACATCTTTGTAGTACAGAGGATGTATGTAGACGGTGGCCAGACTGGATTCGAAAATGGCACCAAATATAACGCTGACCAAACACAACGAGGCGATGAATATCTTTTCCGAATTAAAGGGCGGATAATGATTGATATTCACTCGCACCCACACGACCCAGGTGTCTATGAAAATTCGCACCACTTGCCATTTGTATGGTTTATCTAATTTTCCATTGATTGTAGGTTCCGTCTGTAATCTCGACCATAGTTTTAGACGTAAATTGAGATAACGTAACAGCACCCATATAAATCCACAAACAAAGGCTGAGAAAATAAAAACCAACCATAAATCATAGCCAACCGATAGAATGGGTAAAATGGACTCTGGAATTTGCTTAGCCTTGGGTGTGTAAATACACAATTTATCATCGTAAACTGCAACCGAGAATTCCATTTCCGGCACCATGTAGTCTTTGACGAAAAATCCCGTTAAACATAAATCCAATTTGTTATCGATTATGGATCCAATGGCACCATTGTAGGTTCCATTCGGAGATCTTTCACTGAAAGAATATTAAAGAGAAGGGTTTAAAATCGGAATTTAACTTCTTGAAGAAAATCTTTTTTATAGGTAGCAGAGGTCTTGAATAAATATGACTCTATGGACAAAACTTTTTCAGACCCCAGGGAAGTATGAACAAGTAAACAAAAAACACTAAGCTCGGCTGGGCCGAACTTTGAATACCCTCCACTTTTGGGTATAGAAAACATTTTTATATAAAAGTATCTGAATTCAAACGTGTCCCACTTTAAACTACATCAATCCTCGTAACGCCATAATTTTTAAATTTTATTGAATAAAAGCAAAAAATGTCGAAAATAGTATCAAATTTTAGAATAAGTTTAGATTTGTTCGAATTGGTCACCTTTGGCACGAATTATGGCCTTCAAACGGGCAATGAAACCGTCAAACGCTGCCCGAATGTTGCTCTGGGGTATTTTGGTCCATTGCTGGCGAAGCGCTTGCTTGAGGCGATCGACACTTTGGTATTTTCCAGTGCCAAGCTTGCTTTCCAATAAAAAGTCCAACGGATTGGTATCCGGAGATTTTGGTGGCCATTGTACTCTGAAAATGAAGCGAGGAACCTCATCGAAGAACCTCAATTTAACCATTCTTGGGTGGCGTTCTGAGTGCGATGTTGCTGAGTTCTGTTGGAATGTCCAAGGTCTGTGGCCAAGATGTATGCGTTCCCAAGGCTTTAATACACCCTCCAGAATATTTTCGCGATAATATTCCACGATGATTATTCCACGATACATTAATACCAGCGGAGAGCGACCATCGGCTGTTATGGCGGCCTACACTATCACCATGGCCGGCGCTTGAGTTCTGGTGGCCAACCGAAGGTGCACGATCATTTTGTTTGTTTACAGACTGCTGGACAACGAATGTTTTCTCATCGGAGAAAACCAAATTCGACAGTTCACCATTTTCGGCCAAGCGAAGCTACTCTTGCTCTTTTGAGTATATTTTCTTTCTGTTGCGGTGTAAGTTCTTGCACTTTTTGGAATTTCAATGGCTTTACCCCGAGATCATTTTTCAATATTTTCCGAATGGAATATTGCGATATCTTTAGCTCACGATCCATTTTTTCGGCCACTGCGAGGCAGGTTTCGATAGTCGGTTGCAGTTTTTTCATCTCACCCTGTATATATCATTTGGCCTCAAAAGTGCCTCATCGACATAACAGTTTCGGGACCTAGGTCTTTGGACCAAATCCGTTTTAGGACCTTTGGAGTCGATCTAACTGTGTCCGTCTGTCTGGCTGATGCGCACGATAACGTTCGAAGGGAGTATTCGATTTGGTCCAAACTTGGTACATCGTAATATTATTATCAAACATTTATCTGGTTCGGAGATGGACAATATCGGTCCACTCCTTCTGGTACCTCCCCCACAAAAGTTTTCAGAAAAAAATTTTACTGCACAGCGAGAGAAAGGATAATCCGATTTTGCTCCAACTTTCCAAATATTTGCATCTGTTCTATGTCAGGTGCGAAAATGGACAATATGGGTTCATTCCAACATGTATCTCCCACACAAAGGCCCAACATTTTGAATAATTATAACTCTTATAAGATGTGAGGTAAGAGTCCGATTGTCTTCAAAATACATACATCACAATATTTTGGTGTGAAGATGGAATATATCGGTCAACTCCTTTTGGTACCTCCCCACAAAGGGTCAACATTTTTTAATAATTCTAACTCTTATAAAATGTGACGTAAGAGTCAGATTATCTTCAAATTACACATATTACAATATTTTGATTAACCCAAGGTCTGGTGCGAAGATGGAATATATTGGTGAACTCCTTCTCGTACCTCCCCCACAAAGGGTAAAAATTTTGAATATCCATGAAGCTCATAAAACGCGAAATTAATATCCAATTCCATTCAGACTTGCACATTTCAATAATTTGAATAATCATAACGGAAGTTATAATAATCGAACATTTGCTCAGGGTATACATCTGTCATACTTTTTAACTTGTTTTTTTTTTAACTTTTCGATATCTCTTAAAAAATTCTATATACGTCTATTTTTGATTAATTCAAAGGATTTTACTATAGCTTAAGTTTTTGGTCATTAGGCCCAGCATTCTTTTTTATACTCACCCAAAATAATGTGGATCCGGATCTAATAACACCCTTGTAAAATTCAAACTCTCTTGTAAGACGTCAGACACTCTCCCGTCAACACCATAGACATGTTGCAGTTTCTTTGTTATGGGATTTAACATTGGTTTCGAGTAGACCGAACGAAACTGCTGCACACGCAAGGGATAACCACGCATATTATAGAATATGGTGCGTTCCAATGACTTTTCGCCCGTATATTGGATTATTTTACCATATTTCCCCGTTCTGTTGTTCCAAACAAAGGGATCAAAAATTAATACACCTCTATTTGTTAAAAGAAAACTTTTGAATATTTGATGTTTAGTCCAGAGCATGTGGCAAATTTCACGTAACTCCCTTAACCTGAATTCATCCAATATCACGAAGAAATATATGCCAGCATGTTTGGCAAAATACAGAGAGGTTTGTTCAAAATCCTTAAAACTGGTTACAATCACATAATGTTTAATGGCATTTTCACTTGCTTCTCCCATTTTAAGACCAGGAAATTTTCTTTTGTCCCCGATGCTGTAGATATTTAGTGTAAAGGATATTCTGGTCTGTTTCAAAAACCATTCTATGTAGCTGTTATCCACATCCTTTGTATAATTTTTTTCTCGCAGCATTACATCCAGATAGGGTATATCATTTATTGGTTTCTCTAGCCATTTATTTATTTGCTCCATCGTGAACTCTTCCTTTTGTTGTAGATCCATAATTCCTTGCAAGGATTTGCTGGTTTTTAAGCCAAAACCGAAAAAGAATATAAAAAGCGGTAAAATCATTTTCTTGTTTAAATCAGGTTAGTAAGTAACTGACTCCAGTGCAAATACCTCTCTGGGTTTTTATAGGTCCCAAGAATTTGCAACAGTGATTAACGACATGTCCCTTCGGAGGGAATTTGTATATTTCCTAATTTCCTTCTCATGTTGTTTGTTTGTTTTTTTTTTGCCAAATCATAGCAAAACATAACAAACAATTATCCCCCCGATAGGCCTAAGTACTTATCATGTCATACGACGTGGTGATTTCTTTTTGTAATTGAAACTTGTGGCGGTAACTCATGTTTATCCTGACACCTTTTGTAATCGTTTTGTTACTGGGTGTATTTTGAACATGTTATTTCAGGTGTTATAATTACAATAGTCCTAACATTTTTATCAGTAATAGTGTGTGTCGAAAATTTTATTGACAAAACTATGCATCAACCATTTGTAAAGGACTCTGTAAAATATGAATTCTATTTTAAGTTGAAATCAATATGAAGCTCACAATATTTAAAATAAATGTTTAAAATACATACGTATATTCCAAACATATTAGCAATAATTTACACTTTCAGGTGTAAATTATAGCTAATTTGAAATAAAAATAATTTTTTGAAAATTAATTGTTTTGTTTACATTTTTGGATTTTTAACTCTGACACTTGCATTACGAACAAAAACAAATTTGTATGTGGTTGTTGTTACGTTTGTTGTACAACAACACTTGCTGTTACATGTATTATTCTACCATGGTGTTGAACTTTGAATACGTCAACATATTTCGGTAACATTCATTTAAATACATGTATTAAAATCTTAAAAAGTATCAGTCGGTTCTGCCTACAGACGTATACCCCCAGCCAATGCTTGATTATTTAAAAATATTATGACTTCTGTTATGATTATTCAAACTATTGATCCCATATGGAGTGGGTTCTGAAGGAATGAACCAATATTGTCCATTTCATATCGGACCTAAATATTCATCCCATGTTTCTGGTTGAGAGAAATAATCATATACAGCTAATTGTAAAGATTCGCTGACTTGTTTCGTAAGTTATGACACATTAAAGTATTGAAAATAGTGACCTTTTGTGGGTGAGGTACTAGAAGGGGTTCGCAGGTATATATCACCTTCACAACAGATCTTGTGTTAGCAAAAATGTTTGTAGTTGTGAAATTTGAAGAGAGTTGAATGCCTTTTTGGCTTAACCTCTCCCATCTTTATAACAGATCTTGTGTTGATGGAAATATTGAGATGTGCAAAGTCTGAATGGAATCGGATGTAAATTTCATGAGCTCCATGGATATTCAAAATTTTGACCCTTTGTGGGGGAGGTACCAGAAGGAGAGGACCGATTTATCCCATTTTCACAACAGATCTTGTGTAAGTAGAAATAATGCTTATTTCAGAATATGTAAAGGTTTTTGTTATTCAAAACTTTGACCTTTTGTGGGGGAGATATCAGAAGGAATGGTCCCATCTCTACCGTCTTTATAACAGATCCTGTGATGATAGAAATATTCAGATGTGCAAGTCTAAATGTAATCGGATGTTAATTTCTCGTGTTATGAGCTTAATGAATATTCAATGTTCGACCTTTTGTGCGGGAGGTACCGGAAGGAGAGGACCGATATATTTCTTCTTAACACAAGACCTTGGGTTAATAAAATTATTAGGATGTGTGAAATTTGAAGACAATCGGACTCTTATAAGAGTTTTAATTATTCAAAATTTAGACCATGATGGTTTTTGGTACTTGATGGAGTGGATCGATATTTTCCATTTTTGCACCTGACCTAGCACTGACGCAAATATTAGGATTTGCCATTTCATTTCGATCGGAAGCTAGAGTGATTTCCACAGATGAACGGAAATCCCTAAATCGACATAGAATTTTTATGGTGATCAAGAATATATATTCTTTGTGGGGTCTAAACTATTTCGAGGTGTTACAAATGGAATGATAAACCAATGACGTCCATACTATGCTGGAGGGTATATAAAAGGTACTATTTTTAGTACATTTTTCAGTTATATTATTTTTAACAATATTAATATTATTTAAAAAAAATATAAATATAATGGCTTAACTTCATATTAATCTCTATTACAGAGAGCAATATGAAGTTACAGAAGTTACAGGGGAATACTTTAGACTTAAGCAATCAACTCAATAACAAAACTCTTCAAATAAATGTATTTGGAACGAAATCCCCCAACAATTAATCGTACCCACCTAATAAACCTTAAACTCTTCTCCCTCTCCCCTTCCTCTTAACATCGTCGTCTGTTTTCATAACAAGGTGTTTCACAACAATAAATAACAAAACTGTCGAATTTGTTTTTATTTTTATACCCAAAGGACAATAAATAAGTTAGCTAACAATAGAATGAGAAGTTCCTCTGGGAAAATCCAAAAAGAAACAGGGAAAACTTGTCTTTTGTTGGGACGCAAATGTCTTATGTCAGTCTTATTTGTGCTTTCCAATATATGATGGGCACATAAAATGTTGGTCATTTCCTTTAACTAAGTTAGCTGTAATGTCCTGCTTGATTGTAAGATTGGCAGCTACCAAATCTTCTTAAAATATCAAATTTGAAACAAGAATATAGAATAGAAAATACCGAATATCATCGGTGGATGTCGTTATATGTGCGCTATGGGAAAACGTGGACCTATAATTTTCAATGTTTTGCCACCTGAGCTAGAACCCATTACGAACTGAAAATACCAATATTTAGACAGATCTGTGGTAAAATGTGGCAAAAATCATCAAAATACCGAATATCGGGAGATAGCTACAAAAACTTGGACCTATACATACATTGTTACGCCACCTGAGTTTTCACCAAAAAAGCAGTTTTTAGACAAATCCTTGTAAAATTTTGGCAAAAACTCATCAAAATACGTAATATCGGGAGGTACCATTATATGGGGGCTATACAAAAACGTGAATTGATGTATCCTATTTTCAATACCAACCATCCTAGACACAATAGAAATTGTTCTGCCAAATTTTGAAACTCTGCATCTGGGCATCTTGATTTCAACAGACAAACATACGGGCATCGCCAACCTAGAATTTTATGCTGATCATGAATATATACACTTTATGGGTTCTACGACGAATATTTAGGGATGTTACAAACGGAAAAGTAATATACCCTACTTTTCATGGTGGAGGAAATATTCTTAGTTAGTTTTTATACCCTCCACCATAGTATGGAGGGTATATTAAGTTTGTTATTCCGTTTGTAACACCCCGAAATATACATTTTAGACCCCACAAAGTTTATTCTTAATCAACATAAAATTCTATTTCGATTTAGCGATGTCCGTCAGTCTATCCGTCTGTGGAAATCACTCTAGCTTCCGAACGACATGAAGTAAGTTGATAAAATTTTACTGAAATGCATATTATGTCTGCAGGAAATTGAAAATGGTCCGTGTAGGTCCACGTCTTCATATAGCTCCCATATAACAGTACCTCCATATTTTCGATTTCTTGGTGATTTGAGCGACATTATTCACCGGAAATCTTTCAAATTTGGTATTTGAAGTTCGTAATGGATACTACAGCCTATGACAAATAACTGTCCAGATCCACGCTTTCGTATAGCCCCCATATAACGGCACCTCCCGATATTCGGTATTTTGATGATTTTAGTGACACTATTTACCGGAAATCTTTCAAATTTGGTATTTGAAGTTCGTAATGGATACTACAGCCTATGACAAATAACTGTCCAGATCCACGCTTTCGTATAGCCCCCCTATAACAGCACCTCCCGATATTTGGTATTTTGATGATTTTAGCGACACTATTTACCGGAATTGTTTAAAATTTGGTATTCGAAGTTCGTAGTGGATACTACAGTCTATGACAAAAAAACTGTTCAGGTCCACGCCTTCGTATAGCCCCATATAACGGTACTTCCCTATATTCGGTATTTTGATGATTTTAGCGTCATTATTCACCGGAATTGTTTAAAATTTGGTATTTAAAGTTCATAACGGATGCCCCAGCCTATGATAGAAAATTGTCTGTGCAGGTCCAGGTTTAGGTATAGCCCTCATATAATGGTACCTCCTTTAAGATTAAGATTGTAACAGATTTTAACGAATTTTATATTTTTAAGATTTTAATAGACTTTTTAATGCATTTTATTTTGTTGAAAATTGCCAGATTCGTTCCATATGGTGGAGGGTATTCAAAGTTCGGCCAGGTCAAACTTACAGTTTTTTTTTTGGCAACGTTGATGCAATTTTTTTATGAACGACGGAATTAGACTTTTTTATACCCTCCACCTTGGAAAGGAGGGTATATTAACTTTGTCATTCCGTATGTAACATCCTTAGATATCCGTCGTAGACCCCACAAAGTATATATATTCATAATCAGCATAAAATTATAAGTCGATTTAACGATGTCCGTCTGTCTGTCAGTCTGTCTGTCCGTCTGTCTGTCTGTTGAAATCACGATACAGCCCACATTATTTGACGCAGAGCGCCAAAATTTAGCAGAGCTATTTGTATTGTGTCTAGGATAGTTGGTATTGAAAACGGTCCACGTTCTGGTATAGTCCCCATATAAAGGTACCTCCCGATATTCGGTATTTTGATGATTTTTGCCACATTTTTTCACGGATTTGTCTAAAAATTGGTATTTGTGGATCATAATGGGTCCTAGTTCGTGTGGCGAGTCATTGTAATTATAGGTCCACGTT